AGTCACGTCATCATATATGACTACAATTTAACAACACATTTAACTCACTTAAGAGCTCTGATCAGGTTCACAAATACAACTGGAAGACCGACAAGTGTGGAAAACCAGCAAGCCCAACCACTTCAGACGATGATATGTTTTCAGTAGGGAATGTGATCTACCATTCTATTCAGATCAACATTTTAGAGTCGATAAGGTCAGTCCGATAGTCTCTCCGAGTGGATTGCTACTGTGAAGATAAAACAGTCAAACAACAACAGGTCTGTAATATTGTATTTCTAAAATGTAAGACACAGTCAATGTAACTTCAAAATAACTCTGATACCTACCCACCTAACTGGGAGATGACTTGACCAACATCTATCACATGTTTACTTCTGATCAAACTTGAGAGACAGTAATGTGATAAGCTGGTAACAACACTACTGTACTTGCCGGTGACTAAATAGATTGGTAGACAAGCCGATCATTGAAAACATGTTCGTAAGGCAGTATTTGAGTTAGAAATTGAACATCAAACCAAATGGTTTATTTTCACAAAATAAAACACTGTGTAGTATACTAAACATCGAAGTCAGCTCAGTATACTTATAACAAACGTATGTTTGAATTTTTATCTCATCATAAAGACTGAATATTGTTAGGAAAACTGTCAGCAGGATTCTCCAATAAAATCTAATCGTTTTCATTTTATTGAAACAACTGTAGGCTTCAAATCAACCGTCTAAAAAATACATGTACAGCAACATTTAATTGGTGAGGGTTCACTGACAAGATTTATGAGTAGAGCTTAGCTCAGTACTTTTCAAAACACTTGATATTATCTTTGATAAGATGCGGTAAAGAGGCTGTCGTTTGCTCCTACTCTGTTTTCCTCACTTAAGCCAATATTGTCACATCGTTACTTCTCATAATAAGTGAGGTTTGGTGAGAAAGATACACCTATTCGCACAGCTCGCTCTTAGGCTAATGTTTTCATCCAACTTATTTCACTCAGTCTAACATACTATATAGTATCTCACTTTGACATCCTGAGTTTAAAATTTATCGCCTGATAAATAAGCACACTGATACTTCCACTTATTTACTGAATATACCACTTAAGGAATCAGTAACAACTACCATATAGTCCGGTTCTTCTGTATTTCCACATCACACTGACCTGTAAACACTAACAATCATTTCATCTTATTAATTTCATAATTCGAAATTAGTACTTTTATTGACGAATCGACAAGAAATCACTCCAAAATTTGATGTTGTTTAATCCAAAGACAAGAGAAAACATTGATTTGAGTTATATTTTGCAATGAAAATCCGACTGCAAATTTGATTTCTATTCACAAATAATTTCCACTCTATTCATTTACATTTGGGAAGGTTGAAACAGTCAATGACAGTTATATGTTGGTTTCTGGAGCACCACACAGAACCCCATTACATGCTGCACACATAGTCGACACAGCATTAGAAATCATAGAAGTAACTCTACTCAGTCTCTACTGGCCAGAGTCAGGTGAAAATGTCCCAGCTAATAATAAGAATAAAACTGTTTATACAAATGAAAACTTACATCTTTACATTGGATGTCATACTGGTCCAATTGTTGCTGGTGTAGTCGGTTATAAAACACCACGATATTGTTTATTTGGTGATACAGTGAATACTTCAAGTAGAATGATGAGTCACGGTTTAGTAAGTTAACTTATCTACTCATGTTGAGATAATTTAGTCGATAAAATAATGACTACAATCACGTTTTGCTTTTCTAAAGTTTGGATATAATGGTCAGACTATGTTATTTGTTATTGAGCTACATAATCTGTGGAATATATCGGAGGACTGAGATATTTATATTTTTGGTAAAAGATACGAAAATGCATAGGTAGTTCGTCATGTGTAAGATGCTGCTTATACTGACAACACACTGAAGAAAACAACAAGTTTCCGATGTTTTAATGAGGACTATGAACGTTCCGAAGATGATTATTTCTAGGACAACAATCGACTTCCAATGTTGACATAAACATTGGACGCATACAGTTCGTTGTGCATTTCAACAGCCCGTTCACTCTCCGGATGATCCATGACTAACCGAATTCGATAACATTGTCTGACCACGTGAACCTGACTTGTTAGTACTTGTTGGGATGCTATGGACAATTTAAAACGGAGATGGGGTGAGCACACCGCCACAAATGATGAGTGTGTGTACGTTGGTTGAGACTGAAGCACTCCTAATTAGGGTTATCAAGTATACGGCAAATAATTTATCAGGGGAGATTGTTGAGTTTGGATCGATATCATGAATGAATCAGGTTCTCAATGGTGGTTCACACCGACTTACTGGATAAGTTAATTTCTGAATCACAATAATAATTTCACAGTATAATTACTATTGTCACTATTAAAACGTGAACAAGATTTTCAGATTGTTTTAGCTTTTCATCTGGAAATTCTGTGATCAGTGTGAGTGAAGTCGATCTAACAAATGAGTAACTTGTTGTGAAAACTCATATTAGGAGAGAAAGCCGTTATTCGCTCGTCAATAAATGCACATTGTTGCTGACGTACATACAATTGAGCTTCCATTTGTGAAGAAATTATGACTGTGTTGTGAATATTTTCATTGTTACTTGAAACAATACACATACATATACATAAGATCTGTAAGACAGGAATTGTTAAAACATAGATTGAAAAGTTTCCAACGGTCTTTGTTTCACCAATCTATCTCAATACATTTTGCATACAGTTCTGATCACTGAAACACTGACTCAAGGTTAATAATCTTCGAAACTTGATGCGCCAACAGTTTCATCGATTAGACTTTCTACAGACTCAATTCTCATAGTCAAACAGTATTTCAATCATTATTAGAAAAAACTAATCATAAATGCTGACAAATTTGTCTAGGAAATATTGTATTCGGAGTGTTGCGACCCTAAACTTTGAATCTAGTTTCAAATCAGGTAAAATATATTCCTTCATTTCTAAAATAGATCTGAAGTGATCAAACGATGAATGCAAAATTTCCTTATTGGTTCAATGTTATGCAAATCGGTAAATTCTATTCGAGTCATTTTTCCATAGCTTTTTATTCCGAAAATAAAACCATCATCATATGCTAGACCATTGCTTTTTATTCAACATTTATTCTTCACTTTCATGTACATTTCTCACATTACCAGCCAGACAAAGTGCATATTAGCGAATCTTGTGCTCAGTCTTTATCACCTTATCCATATGAAATAGAATGTCGAGGAGAAATTCCAATCAAGGTATTTTATGCTGCAAATTTGCTTATCATTAATCTATATTCTGATTGAAGTAATTATTTATGTATATATTTTTAAGAAAAGAGCGTTATCAAACAAGTGTTGGGTTAGGAGTCGACCATGAATTCACATTCGATCATGGTTGGCTGAAATCAGAATTTTCGTGGATCTATGTCACAACATGTTGGTTGATACCGATTTTAATACGACAAACTATTGTTTAGCTTGAGACTAACCTACTCATGAAGTCAATTATTTAGGCGAGATTTACTAGTATTTTCGAGACAACTTCATTAAAGGATTCACTAATTGAGAGATTGGTTAATTTACAAAAGTTTACTTAGCGTAACTGGAACAGATGTCTCATTTACTCATCCTTCTGAAGTTCCATAAATATAGGAGTGGGTTATGCTACCGGATAAGAAGTTGAAGCTCTCTGAGCGATCCTATTGAGTAAAAGTGACCCATCAAGATTCACTTACTACTGCATAAATGACACGAACGTCATATAACCCCACTAGACCTACCAATAAACCATGAATACAAGTGGGATGAAACAACAGATATCTGTTGACGGCTTTTGATATAACTGAGCAAAGTATTCAGTGTTCTAATCTACAAATCAACGAATAACTACAACGATGAACTCAGGGTTTATTTGATAAACATGTTTAAGAGTCTAGTTAGGAAAGGCAACGATAAATATGATGAATCACTTATCATGCTTGTTGTTCAACAACTTCTAAGTTCAAGATAGACGAGGTTTATTCTGAGTCTTTTCACTTTTTAAAATTGAAGTAGATTTTTCCAGAAAGTTCACTTATAATATCTATTCACTGTAATCTGACAATATATCAACTAATTTCTGAGCTGTCCTTCGTAGCATGACTCACATTTACACCTACCTGTAAAGAATTATGAAGTGTATATATTTCGAACTATGTATTCATGAACGTTCATTTGTGAGAATATTTTCATCTGAGATCTTCTATTCTCTGATATTATTTCGGACCTCATATGACTAAGAGTAATTCATATTTTGGATCATGGTGAACGGAGTAATCGAAAATAATTGTTTCCTCCTGGTTGCGACTATTCGTTGCAATGTACCTGAATCCTTCTTGATGTCATGCTGAAACTTAAACACAACTCCTAACACTTTGAACACAGGGTTGTAAACCGTAAAGCAACTGAGTCATGATAGTCACTAGGTTTTTCAGGAAATAAGACATTTACTATCGGTACATTCATTCGAGGAGTTTGTAAGTCAACAGAAAACAAAAATACAATCGTGAATAACAGTTTTCAGTAGAAATTTAAAATTATTTCTGAATGTGGAATTGTATAACACACCATAAGTACTATTTGCCTAATTTCCTTGGTTCAACTCTCAAGTGATTGAAACAGTTCATCAATTGTAATATAAACTTGATAATGTTTAACTAATATCTGGCTTATAACATAGAGTGTAAAGATGTGAAAAGGTTTTCACTATATGCACACAGTCAGAAGAGCAATTTCATAGATGAAATTTTATGGGAAATCGGTCAAGATAAGTATTCGGAAGAGAAGTTCTAAAGTTTCAAGTCAGAAATATTTCGTTTTAACTGTCACCATACATGTGCCGTGTATCTTAACCATATGTTTCATAAATTTATACACAACTTGAAGATCCTGAATCATTCTCAAAACATTTTTTAACGTTGATAGGGTAAAGGAAGCATGAAGACATACTTCGTCACAGGTCGGAAACCAGAATTCGTCTTCCAAGACACGACTGATGGAGGGAGTCGAAATTTTGCTGAAGTTCTCAAGGAAGATATGCTCAAAGACGATGATATACCATCGGAAAATTCGGATGACTCTGCGAAATTCTCCATCAATTTGTCCGACGCAAGTGGGACTACCGAGGAAGAGTCTTCTCCTTCATCTCCGAAGGTTGATGGAGAAGAACTAGAAATGACTGAGAAGATATCTGAGAAAAAAGACAAAAAATCCAGTAGAGGTGAAAGTAGACGCTCAAGTAAAAGCGCTCAGAAACGCCGTCAATCTCAGCCACTCTCCAATACAACTTCACCAACGAACGAGAATCCCGATGTCGAGAATCAACAGAGCAACTCAGGTTTTGTGAACAACCAAAACACAACTGAGGTCCTAAATGAAGCTGCACGGCGTCTAGTCGAAACGAAAATAAAAGATGTAAAGAATGAACAGAAGAAGAAACAGGATATTACATTCAGTCTTGAGAATCCCAAGGAAATCTTGAAAGAGGCTCCCAGCGAAGCCAATTTACAAGCAGTAGACAACAATGTTGACGAAGCAACTCTGTTCAAGTCGAAACCAAAGGCACCTGAACGTTCTAGATTGATTAAACTCAATCCAGCAAACAAAGTCTCCAGTGTTTCTGTCTCCAACAAACCCATCCAACCTACTCCTGACAAAGTTACTGTGAACAATGTGAGTTCGGATGCTACTGAGGATGCACCGAATGATGATAACGATAAAGTTGCTCAAGAGATTGGCGATCGGGAAGATAGTAAGTGAATTTCCAGTTTCCAGGGAATTACAGTTGTGTTGTTACATTACATTACGATTTCAAGCAATGTACATTTATATTTCGTCAGACATACAATGTTTTATCATCCACTTTTCTCTAAGCCATAAAATACCAGGTTACAAATGCTGCTGTAAGCAAACCATAATAATCAGTTAACTAGTACAAAATTCAGAATAATGTGGTTTTGGTTATAAAGCCGACCATTCATTAGATTATCTTTGAAATTCTTTATTAAGGAGACTGTTTGGCTTGATACACTGCAAACAACTGTTTGGAATTGCATAATCAGTGAACTCCTGAAACTATCCAAATTAGGTAACTTTTCGGAACGCGTTTCATCATTTCTCACTAGTTTCTTCTATTATTATTCAAAGGTCACTGTGATGACTTTCTCAATATACATGTTTACAGCTTTATAAATTCACATCCTAATTTCTTATCAATATGTTTCGTTTCATTTGAAGCCGTCCAACAATACCGCGAAATGGTGAAACAGGGCCGTTTTGATCCAGTACCAGATTTGCCATTCTGTTCACCTCAGGCAGTTATATTCAAAGATTTAGGTGAGTCACTCGGTTCGATTTCATGTCTGCTTTGCGAGTTATGTAAATATTTGTTGACCTCAATTATACGATATACTGTCTTCTTGATTTCACATCCCGTTCGTCGAAAACAGAGATATTGTTTGCTGCACAAATTTACTAAGAAGTTCTGAATCGCAATTTAGTAAATGCCCACACTCGCTAATACAATTCATTGTCACATTTGAAGGGTTCCATATTTCTTTTGAAGGTTTCGGATTGCATATACACTCATTACTAGTGCTTTAGTGCCTCTCTTATCCATGATTTGTGAAAGTTTATCACAGCAATTTGATCGGGAATCTTTAGTCTTAGTTTGCAACTTATAAATTTTATCCAATGTTTAGGTAATTACTATCTCAATTAACAGTAAATATTGTCTATACAACCAGAAACGGTTTAAGGTCTGCTAAATTTCTCATAATCATCGTTCTGGTTGATCGGTGATAATCACTACAACTAAATTTTCCAGATCACGTACCCAGTGAACAATGACAAAATGACCGTTCGATGACTTGGTCACTTTCAATTCAATTTTGAAATCTTCACTTTCTACAATTTTTCAGTAACGAATTTCGCCACTTCACTCTACAGATTTGAAGATTCAGTCTAGTCATTCCCAGTGAAAGTTTCACTGAACGTGAAATTGGCTTGTGGCACAGCTACTTAGTTGCGACAAAATTGAATCGATAGTTTGAGACGTGATCAATGACTGTTTCCTTCATATTTTACTGCAATCACTTGATATGTTCTATTGTAATCCAATAGAGTCTCCTAGAACGGTCATCTATTTCAGAATACTTACAGATGTAATAGTGACAAACTGAATACATGATACATGCAATGTCATATCCTTCATGTTTCCAATTTGACAATACACTTTACTTATACGTGACTGAGTATCGAATTCAAAGTGACTCTATTTAGTAGTCCACTATGTTTTCCATTTCATTTCCAAATGATAGTCATCGTGCCCGTTAAAGTTTGTAGATATTACAATGTTTCGTTACATCGCTCTCATTTATTGATAAACGTAGTCGGTTATATCCATGAATGCGGAATTCGTCAGTTAGTCGAAATAAAACGATATTCTGAATTATAAGCAAAGACGAATGGTGGCTAGCAATGTAATCCAAGATGCGCGTTTCTTCCTAATTGGGACTCGTCAGTTGGATACACCTGCACGACAGAGTTGATGTTCACCGTTCGCTTCAAACGCCATCGCATTAACCACTTAGCTACTGAGTCCTGAGAGCCACCATCCGTCTTCGCTTACAATGCTTGTGACTTAAAGCAATATTGAGGTAATCCACACAATACGCATATATGCCAGTAAGAAACTGATCAATCGTAGTCCTAAACGTTAATGGGAAGATACAAACAAACATTACAAAATCAATATTCTGAATTGATTTCACTGTACTATTGCATGATTGGTACTTCTCGTCGCTACAATTTAAATGATTTACAATTGAAAAGAATTTAATAAGAGAAGAGATCAGTAGTAATAGTATTAGAAGCAGTAATAATAATAGTGTTATTATTATGATTATAAGTAGTAGTAGTAGTAGTAGTAGTAGTAGTAGCAGTAGTAGTAGTCGTAGTATTAGTAGTAGTAGTATTAGTCTTCATTTCCTAAGTAAGCAATCCGAAGTAGGTTGAATGAAATCTGTTTCTAATCTTCAGCTTCAAATTTTATGCGGAGAATCGATGAGAACTTTACCGAGTTTTGGGAAGAAAAACTGCGAAAATTGAAAGATTTAGGGTGTTAAATCCAACGTTATACCAGTGACAGTGCACTTTCTAATGTAAGTTGGTTCAGAATAAACGAATTGGAATTTTTGTGTATAATGACCTCACATAGTCGATTTTTTCAGTTACTAAAGTTCATTTCCAGTGTTACTACTGTAAGATATTTCTGCCAGATCTATCGATAAGTAATCAGTTCACCTGAAAACCAATCATGTTGGGAGAATAAAGCGCGAGGCAACTGAACATACGAAGTAGTGGTCAGTTTCGCGAGACATATTTTCATATGAATGTCAGCTAATGGATGCAAATAAGCAACTGCTTGCAATTCAGTATGTTCACTTTCCTTCATCGGTCATTAAAACAACATCGGTTCGATGAATAGTGCCACTCACTGATCACAATGCACGTAAACAACTGTGGTGGAAATTGAATTTCATAGAACGTATTAACAGGAACTAAAGTCTGCTCCCTTATTTTGCACGATTATTTAACTCCTCAAGACTAACGGTTGCTGATCTTTGAAACTTGGTCATTTACTTTGGGGGACTCATTCATTTGCATGTTTGATGCATATCGTATGAAACTTATCAATATTTCATTTGCTCAACAAAAATTACACTTTATTTGTTGGTCATTGAGTAAGTGGATTTACAATGTATCACTTCTCTAGGAGATCACCCGATGACCATATCTACATCTTGGAAAACGTGTATCCCTGATTAGAGACGTTGTTTAGTTCAGAGAATGAAACCACTTGATATTCAGTTAAATATCAACATGATAGAAGATGAGACGAAGGTTGTACGTTGTTAAATGAACAGTGTGAAATATGGGAGACTTCATTAAACTTAATCAGTACTAGGTTTTCCTTACTGATTCTCTTATACCACAAAATACCATTGATGTGTACTTCATTTGAACAATTACTTAATTTGAACAATTTAAACTACATCCTAGTCCACAAAACTCTTCAACTCTCGAAATCTTAGCAGAAAATGTGAATGAAACTCTACTTCGACGTTGAGTTAATATGCAGGAAACTATGGTATTTTTAGGTGAAACATTACGGTTCTGGAAACATTGGTACCAAAATCAGTAAGCAACCAGTCAGAATAATGACACAACCCCCTTTTTTCTAGAAGACTCTCTAATAGTTCTAGGGAATACTGATTAAAAGAAGTATAGTCGGCATCCTCCAACTTCTGAAGACTCTTCTAGGAATAATCCAGTGTTTCTAGTAAAAAAATTGCCATTCACACATCTGCGGTGATTATCCATTTCAACCATGTTATATGTTAATGTTTCAATATTTTGTAGCCTGATATTTGGATGTCCCCGTACATCATTATTTGAAACATAGTAATTCGTTAAAATGATTCCGAATCACTGTAAAGGAGAACAACTGTCATTTCTTTCTCACAATAATTTAGAAAATATGAAAGAGGTTTAACTACGAAGATTATTAATTGTACAGAAAACTAGGGGGTTTGTAGGTGTAACGTTGAGACTGTCGAAACTTACGAAAACATGCTAAAACTAGTCAAATCAGTAAGTATCCAATCAGAGTATAACGGATAATTCAACATTTCCCAGAATTATCTCATATATTATTCTAGGAAGCAATGGTTGGAAGGAGCGTATTCAAGATTGTTCCAGTATCCAAACTAGAGGTGTCATTCATGCATCTTCAGTAGCTACCGATTTCACCCACCTAAGTAACACTACGATAGACACGCGAGAATGAAAGAAGTCTAATTATCTGAGTCAATGTTTAAATTGATTTATTCGATTATTGATCAACTAAATTTAACTAAATTACTCATTCTCCACATTTTCTCATTGTTTTTAGCTCAACCATTGTGTCTAGCACTAACCGAATTACTTATCATTAGACCAAAGAATCCTATTATGTATCTGGCTATTTGGTTAAGAAACTACTCTATGGACAGTTCAAAATTTGACTGGGTTATACATTCCGGATGAATTAATATAACTTTGCAATCTTTAAACGTCTTATTTATTCACTGATGTGTGCTTAATTTGCTACATGTTATGCCCGTAGAATGTTTCTTTAAACCAGTAGAGAATAAACACCGTAACTTAAGCAAATCTATTTGTTTTCTATCATACTATTCACTGTCGACATTTTACACCTAAACATAACTAAAGATTAAGGTTATATCATTGAAAAAGTACACAAGTTATTTTAGTGAAACAATTGACTAGTTTCAGCGGATGGTTGATGACAAAATGTTTAATAAGTCTCTAAATTAACTTACTTATTATCTATCAGTAGAGTTTAATTTCCTCCATATCTGACTCCAATAAATAGTATCCTGTTAATTGTGTATTTACTCAGGCTAAATCTCCTAGTAGTATCATAACTTTACTCAACATTATTCAAGAGTTAATGATTAGTAAAATCCACATGCACGCAGAAAGCAAGCACACAGAGAATCCAGTGGGAGAGTGTGTTTTTGTGTGTGAGTGTTTAAAAATCCATATATATTTATGAGTGTTAGTCGATCCTGGATAAGTTATTGATTGTCTGTGTTTACATCCAATGGGAGAAAATATAATGATTGATGTGCAGACTTGCGCCTAATCAGACTCACACGTAATTTTATATAGTGGATTAAATATCTAAAATACAGCAAATAGACAAATAATAAAATGGTTCACTGGGCTTACTACATACCCACACAATATTCATATATACATGAAATATCTTAAGAGTTCACCGAAATAATAAACATTATGCATTCTTGATGAGGAAATATGCAGATGAGTCAATATGTCATATGTACAACTGTCAAATGTGTTTCGTACATAATGTTCGATTTAAAGAAATATTTTAACGCGTTTAACATCAGAATAACTCTTCATGTACCTATTGCAGGTCTACTACTGTTCCCGAGACCGGACAAACGAGGTGGGTTTGGTATGTGGTCAGCAATCCCCTACCATAGAAAACAACCTTGGTAAAGTAACGCTAACCACAATAAACAATTCAAACCATTTAACTCTGCTTTTCGAACTCAAGGATCGTCATTCAAAAGGATTGTGACGACTCGTGGTGAAACATGAGATTCACCGGAAGTTACGAGGTCCATACCAACAACATGGAATGTTCGAACAATGTGGGAGACCAGGAGGACCAATTACCGAGCCACGGAAATAAGGAGATACAACATGACGGTGCTCGGAATCGGTGAAACACATAGGACAAAAGCTTGACAGAAAAGGATATATTAGGGAGAGATACTTCTGTACTGTGGTCACGAAGATGGAAATGCTCCACACACGCAGAGGGTTGCTCTGATGTTGTCTAAAAAAAGCCCGTAAATCACTTATTTGGTGTGAATCTCATGGGTCCACAACCATCAAAACATCTTTCAAAACAAAGAAGGATGGAATCACGATGGACATTATCCAATGTTATGCAATGAAGACGATACAGATTAGTCTTATGAGAGACTGCAGCCCATCGCAACGAAGTGCTCAGGAACGGACTTGACCACAATATTCCGTCACAAAACATACACAAAGCTGCATGAGTTCCACCACATTACACTACAGAGAACCAGATCGGCCACATTTGCATCACTAAAAATTCAGGTCAATGGAAGACGTGATAACCAGGAGGTAAGCTGACATAGCATCAGAAATGCTTCTTAATGTTGCCGAGAAAAACTGAAACTGAAGAAGCGATGGACTGTTGGGGCGATCCAGAAAACACCTCGAAAAATGTCAAGCAAGGCTTTGAAAACACTGAGAAGTATCTTATTCAATCAGCGTTCACTAGACTTGAGATTAGATGGTGGTTGAAGGTAGTCGACAGGAAACCCTGGATCCGGATTTCGTGCTACTTGGCACTCGTATTCAGGGTTTACCTGTCTTCTTAGGGGAATAGGTGCTCCCTGACGGATTCGGTCCCGTGCCACCCAGCTTCACAGTCAGAGAAGTTACCACTGAGATATCCGGGCCGCGACCGACCTCCTGCAGGACTGAGATGTAATCACTATTGACACGCATGACACTGATTACCAACCAGTGATCAATCAGTTATGATTGACAAACTCTCTCTACAACTGGTGTTCAGGCTCTTGAATAATCTTGAGTAAATTTATGATACTACTAGGAGATTTAGCCTGAGTAAATACACAATTAACAGGATACTATTTATTGGAGTCAGATATGGAGGAAATTAAACTTTACAGATACATAATAATTTTCGAGAAGCCAAAGGATATCTAAAATACTATAAAAACCCTATACTTTTTGTGCAAGGACGAACCTTTGAAGTAAAGTGTTTTTTACACATTTCGGGCCTTTTCTTTTGTGCTCAAGTCGCTGTGTAGATCTAGCCTGTGAGTTACTAGAAGAGCTTAGGATCCAAATCTAGCGTTCAATTAGCAAAACTTATCAGTGGCGACTGGGAAAATTACAATAAACATTTCTTTCGAGCTACTAGAATCTTATATGTAGCGTCAAGATAAGTTGTTTGAACAGTCTCAAATCAAAACCATGGAAGCCCTTATGTAGAAATTCCACCTGTTCCAAAAAAAACCTGCTTCTAGTGAATTACAAGTATCTCATACTGGTTCAGTGATTAACGTAATCCATGAATTTAATTATGATGGTGTAGCAGGTGTTACTTATGAGTATTGGTTTAAGAAATATAAAAATTTGTTCTGTATTGATCTCTGCAGGCTGGATGACGCCTCAAAAGTCAGAATACTTCTTAGAACACTTGGGACGACGGATCGTGAACGATATGGTAACTTTATTCTCCCGAGTAAGCCGTGAGACTAGTTTTGATGAAAATATTAAAAACCTGTCTCAAACCTTTGAAGAACAGTCATCTCTATTTAATATCCGTTATCAATGCTTGAAGATAACGAAAGAACCGGATGACTGGGTGGAACATGCGGTGGTATTTAGTGAGGGTCTTGGGGAACGAACTAGATTTAGAGCTGCTCTTACCCTTTGACAGGGATCAAAGCCAGTGTTTCAATCTAAGGAGCCTGTAGAATTACGGTCCATTATGATATTAGCACTGCTCTAATAATAGCCCGTATCCTAAAATTGTAGATTTATCATGATGTAACTGCCTAATTTATAAGATCTTACGTGGAAGTTACATCATCGTCTACACCGATTCATCGCATTGTAACAATTACCAATACGTCATAGAGAACGAGCTTAGGCTAGAGATATAATATATTTAATATGAATAGAAGACACAAGATAACATTTAGCAGGAGGGACCATGCCCGCAAGGCCGAGCCATGCCATCCGATCAACTCGGACTAATTCAATTTATTATTCCCGCCTTCTCCATTCTTCTGTATTTCTCCGCGTTAAATGTTTAATGTCTATTTCTCATATTGTCTCGTGGTACGGCTCAATGCCACTACACTACTCTCACACCAGAATCAACGTGACGTTGGTTCGATATCAAATTGTGAGGGATTGTCGCGCGCCGGAGGTTAGCAAGAATAATAAGAATCGTTCGAGTATTGATGAACTGAAAGATAAATCAAAAAGAAGGCGGCAGCATCTGGTCGGGAAACACACGTAATGATTTTAAAATGTCTGGTTTAAGGCTTAACACGCTTAAAATGAAAATTTGGGCGGAGATTATTTGAGCTAAACAAAGCGGGATTATAATTATAATGAAATGAATCCGTATAGGGATATTTTAATAAGTCGCCGTAAGGTAGTAATAGCCGTAGGTTAATAACATTTCCTGTTTAGAAATATTAAAAACAACATTGTAGAAATGTTAAAACTGGTATTATATTTGGTCTAAATTATGAAATCAAATAACGTATGTGCCGGTAAGTTGTCCATGCGTTGATTTCCAATTGCATCTGTATTAGTAGGCTAATTGAAAGAACAAAAGTATAAACGCGGAGAAGAATTCCGACTTGCGTTCCAGTTAGTTTGATACGGTTTATTTAGATATGGGGAGATTTTCTCGACCTCGTTTGTACTTGACCGTGATAGAATTTAGTAATACTATTAATACATATGAATTGTTATCAAAAATTTTTAAATACGTGAAAAGTATTCATTACGTGGATTTTGGACATATAGCTAAGAGCGATTCGTTAAACATGAGTGTATCCGTTAGAGATATGCTCTAGACTCAATGTTCTGATTTGCCATAGACTATTTATTTATATTCATACCCATCGGCTGATGGTACATACAAGTTAGTTGCAAGTGCCAGTTTAGTATAAGACGGAATGCTATTTCATTGAGACATAGTGATTATAAGTAATTGAAATCAGTTAGGCCTATGTGCCACCTTTCTAGGTGATGTGGTGCTGCAAGATGTATTCGCCGATAATGGTAGTAAAGAAAATTAATGGTAACGTCCGCCTTTGTGCCGGTTACTCAACCGGGCTAGATGAAGCCCTATAAACTTTGCAAAGTTGGATTTATTGAAAGCGTATTTACAAATCCATGTTGCTGATTATTGTAAAACTCTGCTCACCATAAACACACACAAGGGCCGATTCCGGTATAGTCGACTACTTTTCGGAGTCAAGACGGCCCCATCCATATTTTGGCAAGTGATCGATACTATGTTACGGGATGTTCCAGGCTCTGCAGCTTATCTTGATGACATAATAATTATGGGAGTAGATAGAATAGACTTAGAAAAGATGCTCGACCAGGTACTGTCGCGAGTAGCCGAATATGGACTTCGGCTCCGTCCAGAGAAATGTAACTTTCGTATGCAAAAGGTACGCTACCTCGGATTTATACTCGACAAAGATGGTAGAAGACTAGATCCAGAGGATATCCAGGCAGTGAAAACTATGCCTAGACCGACGGATGTCCCCACACTACGATTGCTTTTATAACTAGTTAGTCATTATGGAACTTTTATTATTAAACCTTAACTACGTGTCCCTTAAATAACCGGCTGGTGAAGAACATAAAATGTGATTGGTCTGCAAACTGCCGGG